GAGATGCTACTCAGTTTGAAAGTTACTATTTAAATGCACATTGTTGGTGTAATGGGCATGCATGCAAGTTGCAGAAAATGACATTTCAGCAGGTACACGGTCACCCAGAAGGGATCTATTTTTTTTAGTGCTGGAAGCTTCCCAGTCAGCGCTGGAAGCCGGGAGTTCTGGTCAGCACGCGTCTACAGGACACAAGCATTAAAAGTGAACCTATGCTAATCAATAGTTTTAGCTGTTTAACTCCATTTCTGTTCAAGTGTGGAAGATGCAAATCTGTTTCCTTGTGAATAGTTTCTTCATTACAAACCAGTTGTACCAGTTTCAAGGTTGGAGATTTGTGAACCTTTACAGATTATATGATTCATGTGGTACATTATTTTGTGGATCACTTTCAACCCCTTGTACCTCAGCAACCTGGAAATCACAACAGAAATAGGGATGATTCCGTCTGTGGGAATCATGGCCTAAAATGAAACCTGTTACAGCACAGAATTACTGCCATAATACTGTGTTTAAGTTTGTCATTTAATCTGAAAACGAACATTTAAACAAAACTTAATTCCTTAATTTACATGAATTTTAATTCCACCATTGCATGTTTGAACTTCTATTTTCTTAAATTATATGCAACAATGTGCATTAAAACTAAACTTTAGTTCTACAATTCATACAGTAATTATCTTTTCATTTAAAACAGACTTCATTTTAAAATCATAAAATCGCTTTTCCTATTTGGGCCTTTTTCACTGGAGCCTTGTCTCATTCCACAATTCATTATTGAGCAAGCTCTCAAAAGCTAGGCCATTTCATTAATTTTGATCAGTGAAAAGCCCATAGGATTCTGGACATATCTTTTGGCATGGAGCCACCAAAGATTAAATACTGTGCTTCGGATTATTTTAATTCCCAAGAGGATTTTCCCTTCACTGATGTAAATGGTAACTAGAGACTCGAATTGATAATATTTTTGTTTCTGTGCTGTGTTCTGGTGTGTTCTGTTTGCATTAAACTGTCAACCAACTGCTCCTGTTAAAGCAGAACTCCCAAACCTGTTGTAATATTGTGATATTCCAGGACAGTGATTATCTTTGCAAGGATGAAGGATTGCAAATGTTGTAATATATTATGTATTAGATTTATGGGTTTGGTGGATGGATTATCATTGGCTAGTTACTAAATTGGATATTATGTGTATCATAACTTATAGTGTTTGGATTGTAATATTGTTAGGTAATTCCCACAGTACAGTGTTGTGAATACTGCTTACTACCCACCATTACTCCCACACTTACCGGCTGCCTTGAATCATGGGAGATGACGTCCTGACCAGTCGATGTAGTCTTGATCCGTCGACACATTGCAGAACTTAATTTCCCACGATTCACTGTGATTTCAACGCTTGCCAGTAAGTGTGCATGCGGCGATGGGTCAAGATGTATTGAACCACGGGAAATGTGATCTTGACCCATAGTCTTGACCCGTCATCGCATACCCTCTTACTGGCTGCAGTGACAAACTTACCATCTATATTAAATGCCTGTGCACTTACCAGCTATATTAAATTTTGCATGCCCCGTGTAGATTATTGATTTAGTTATGACAGTATTTGCTTGAGAAATGCAAAGCGAGGTTGTGAGTTCAATTCTCACCTATAGCAGCGCATTTCATTAGATACGATGGGCTGAATATCCTTCACTTGTGCTGTAAAAAAAATTCTGAGGATAGTGATTCATTGTACAGTCATCAAGAGTGATAATCTGGAGCCATTCTTGTAGTCTCTAATTTAGGGAGACACTATTTTAGCACGCCCACTTCTGCTGTCTCTTGCTGGGAATGGTGAACCCAACATAGACTGAAAGACCTATTTTTCTACTTTCTGAATTAGAATTGAAGAAAATAGGATTCTGCCCATCTGGCCCACTCTGGAACCTCCATTCGGGATTCCCTTCAACTTGCTGTCTCCCTCAACTCTTTCAAGGTCCCTCTCAAGACCTTCCTCTAATCACGCCATTGGTTATCTTTCCCCTCCCTACCCCTCTCAGACCTTACCTATGGCTTGGGGGTCAGGTCAGGACTGCCAGGTGCCTTAGGATGTCCTCCTGAAGTGAAAGGTGCTACCTACATAAATGTCAATTTGCAATGTATTATATTGTATCAATCCTGATACCAAGTTCAGGTCTGAATTGGAGTTGAGGTGCATTTACTTGATCTTGCTATATCTGGCATGGTTTATTTTCCTCTTAACATCCTTTATGAATAGAAACATCCCCCACCCCCCACCAAAAAAAGAGAAATATTTACGAGAGTCTCGCATGAAGATGGTCCTTCAACTATTTCAGCTCATCTTTCCAGAAAACCTACTTGTCCACCCATTGCAGCATCAGGCCATTTCTTAAGTAAGCTCAGTATCCTGCCCTTCACCGTCCTTTCTGATAGCCTATTTCAACTCTTAATTACTCCCTATGAAAAGAAATGCTTTCTGTGGTAAAATTGACATTCACAATCCTGAACTTCTGCCCTCTTGTCCTTGGCAAATCCCAAAAAATGATTCTGTATTTACTCTTAAGCATCTTGTCTATACACCCACACAGTACTCCAAGATCCCAACCTGTATGAAAGATGCTGTGTAAACACAAGTTGTTGTATATATAAGGTCCCATTTCAGTTTTATTTTATTTTCAAGGTGTGCAATATTGTCCAGCTGTTCTTCATTGTTAAAGAACAGTGAAGAACAGCTAGACAATATCTCTCCACAAGGAGGCTGTAAAATATTCTTTGATTATAAAACTATTAAATAAATAAATGAACAAACACACAACCAAATAAAAAATGTGCTGGCAAAACTTTTAATTGTTGATTCTAAGCAGAATATACTCCTTAAACACAAATATATTCAGCATAAAAAGGGTATAGATCTGATCCTAAATATAATGGCCAATTTTCCCCAGCATTTACTGTGTTTCGTCTTTACGGTGAAGTTGTTGAGATTAAAAATTGGAAAACTCCATTCTGTACTGTAGCCAAGTGACACTGATGCTGTAGGTACACTTCAATGATTTTCTGCCAGAGCAGGTTAGCGGATTCAGGAAAACAGGATACAACCACAATGTCTGTATTGTACTGTACTGACGCAGAATTTCCATTAAGGGAAGTTGCCTGATGTAGGTAGTTGAATATTTTACTCTTACATAGATCACAAATGAAACTGTGACCTCTGATCCTTTCATTTAAATAAAAAACAGCGAATAAATTGAATGGATGTTGCTGATTCCTTCAGATGTAATTTAATCACATCATGTTTGACAGGAGCGCATACAATGCAGGGAAAAGCATTTTCATTTATTGAAGTTCCTTTTTAATATCTTAAACATGATTTTTTTTGCTGGAGGTAAATATAGTATATTTGTGAGTACATCTGATTTAAATAAAATTATAAGTGTGGGGGTTTATGCAGCTTCAAATACCATTTTGATCTAGTTATATTTTTACAGCCAGTATACTGAGGAACTCTGATAAATAAAACCGGTTGCTGGATGTAATGGTATCTGTCTGTTATGAGACCATTCTGTTTATGTAATCATTTGAGTTATTTTTTCCCATTTTGCCCGGCCTATTAATTGTCCCAGTATTTTCATTTATAAGTAGGATTTCCTACTTATTGTGTATACTTATTGTGGAGTCCTGTAGCTCAGTGGTTAGAGCACTCGCTTTGCAAGCGAGAGACCTGAGTTCAATTCCAGGCAGAGGGCGAAACCTTGGGCAAGTTTCCTTACTCCACACAGAGCCTAATAATAATCCCTCCAAAACCCAAAACAATAATAAATTGGTCATTTTCAATCTACGACTGTTTGTGGGACATTGCTGTGCGCAATTGGCTGCCGCGTTCGCCCACAAAAAATACAGTCAATTCACTTTACAGTGTGTTCTGTGAAGCGCTTTGGGACGTCCTCCCGACGTGAAAAGCGCTATATCAAATGCAAGGATTATTATTATTATTATACTCTTGTGCCATCAACTTTCCTCAGCAAAACACATGATGTTTTAATCTTTCTCTGTATAAGAGAAACTAGTTTTCACACTTTCTTTTTTTTTACTTACATATTATTTTAAAAAATACAACTACTATGTGTAGCCCTCTTCAATCTTTACTTGGCATTTATTCATTTATTGTACTTTGCCTTTAACAAAAAAATAAACCTAATTCCTAAAGGTTCAAGATTAACTTACATGTTGTGGAACAACAACCTCTTTTGATTTTTTTNATAACCTCTAATCATCCTTCTATCCTTGCATTTGATATAGCACTTTATCAAGTCTTCCATATGTCTCAAAGCGCTTCTTCTGCTAAGAGAATTTTTAAGTAAACCTCTTTTTTCTGGTTAAAACAAGTTACTTAACCACAATTCACTCAGTAAAATGCTATATCTAATCCAAGGATTATTATATTATAAAGATCTTGTCAAAGATAATATTTTTTAAACATGCAGAATATAATTTACATCATATTTTGATATTTTTTCATTCCTTATTTAGTAATAGAGGAGCAATATTAGAGCTAAATCTAGACAAAACAAGAAAACCCCTGACTGCTGGTGACGTTGTTGAGATTAAAGTTTGCAGATCTCCATTCTGTACTGTAGCCAAGTGGCCCATATGCTTCTTATTCAAGTGGACATTAAAGACCACATGACACTATTTGAAAAAAAACGAGTTTCTCCGCATTATTCTCGGCCAACAATCATAATAAATTGGTCATTAACCGAATGGCTGTTTATGGTTTGCTGTTGGTGCAAAATGGCTGCCACAGTAGGTTATAAATATTAACTGTATATGACAGTAATTAACTGAAACACTTTTAGATGTTACTTTGATAAAAATGCATGTTTTTTTGTGCTCTGTTATATTATAGAAAATTATAGATTCTTATCATTGATTCGTGTATACTAATTGTCGACTTTCGTGAATAGTCTATTTGGATAACGTTACATTTATTTTTACAGGTATTCCACACATACTCTAATGAAGCCTATGATAGGAGAAATGATGAAGTGGATCCGGTTGCAGCGTCTGCAGAATATGAACTGGAAAAACGTGTAGAAAGGCTGGACCTTTTTCCTGTTGACCTCGAGAAAGGTATGGGTAGGAAAATGGTAGATAAAGGGGGATGGGTCGGAAAAGAATTAGATACAACACAAGACATTTTTGTTATGGCAAGATAATTGTATTTGAAGATTTAATGAAGCTCCAATTAATTTATACTGAACAATACAACCGAATGAGAAACAGACATTGATATAGGCACCAGTTTCCCTCCAGTACTTCATCCAAGTAGCTAGAGCTGACCTCTGCTACCTCACCCAAGTAACTAGATCTGCTGTCTGGTCAATCACGCAAGAGCTATTAATTAAATATTTATCAAATATTTGAGTGACAAGAGACTATTCAACCATGAGGGCATCAAAATAAGACTTATTCTGTCCTTACCTGACATCTATATATGTATATTTTCCAACCAGGTTGAATATCAGCAGTCAGAAGTGGGAAGCCTTTCTTATTGGAAAAGGGTGCTAAATAAACTTTTAATAAAATAAACTGTAATAAACTAACTCAGCATGCAATGGGAATACACTAAATCAGCAAACACCTTATCTGGTCTTGGCATTGCCTTCGCTAATTGAACATAGGAACAGGAGTAGGCCATTTAGCCCCTCGACCTGATTTGATTCGATTTGATCATGACTGATCTGTACATCAACTCCAATTACCTCTTTTGCCCCATATCTCTTGATACACTTACCGAACAAAAATCTATCCACCTTAGTCTTGAAAATTTTAATGGATCTTAAAATTTTAATAGAAATGCAAGAAAATGTCTTTGTAAATACAGTTCTGCAATGAAAATCTGTTTTGTGTAACTTCAAGGGGGTGAAATCAATTTTGCTGCTTTGATGAGGTACACTTAGAGCAGAATTTTTCCAGCAAAATTGAAATAATTGAAGCCTGTACATTTAGCAGCAACAGCATTTTTCACTTTTATTTGCTCATCTGCAGTCTCTTAAAAACTTGTCTTGTCAGTTCTGAAAGAAAAAAAAATTCCTTTCCGAAGTGCGAGCACTTAAATTTAAAGGAAAAGAAAAGTTGTCAATAACCTCCCCCCACCCAAAATTATAGTATATTTTAAAACGTCACCTTACACTATAAATGATTAAAGCCTGTTAAAATTGATATTTATCCACAAAATAAAAGCCTAGGTAATTTTCTTTCTTTAGGATCTATTTTTTGTGAATCACAGAAGGAAAAATAGAGGCAAAGAATTTGACAAAAAAAATTATAAATTCGGTGAATTATTGGTACAGGGGAGAACTGATTATCGGTATTATTTGGGACTTGCCCATTGAGGATAAGCAAACAATGGGCGTAGTTGAACATCCTAAATAGAATCCTGCAAAATACAAATTAGCTACAGCGTTAACTTAAAAAAAAGTTTCATTGGGATATTTATTGTCACGGTAGTGCCAGCGTTTCCTCTCTTTGCCTCTCTCCCTTCCATCTCCCCTCTCTCTCTGCCCACCTACCACGTTCTTATAGATTTTTAAATCTGCCATCTGTTCTGTGAACTTCTGACAAAAAACAATAACCACCACTTGCAGCCTGTTGATCCTCTGTATCTTTGACAGAAACCTAAACATTTCAAATGCATTGTTGATAGCTGCTATTATTTCCTAGTTATTGGGTGATGTGCAGTATTTGGAGTACCAGGCGATGCCAGGATTAATTGAGAGAAAGGGAATCTTTCCAATCAATGTGGTATGGATAGGGTGGGGGACATGAAGCAGTTTAAGCAGAAGTGAGCAGTATTCCAGTATAAGCAGACGTATAGTGGTGGGCAACACTAGCATGATAGAACAGACTGACTGAAGAACTGCTGATGTTTTCACCTCAATCAATGGACGACTCCTGGAATTCCTGTTTACTCCAAATTTTCCTCAGTAAAACCTGCTCTTGACAATCATTTTCGATATTCTCAAGTCATTTGTTCAGCAAGTTCAAATACATTTCATTGTAGGATCATTTAAAAAGTTGATTGACTCATCAGATATTATAACCAGATATGAGGGAGGAAAAATAAAACAGTAGTACAGTACGATAGAGCTACTTCTCGCATCCACTCCAGGAATAGACAAAACTCAATTTGTTGTGGTTGATGCATTTCATATTTTAGCTTCAATGACGTTTGATCAATGTTCACTTGCAAATTATTGTTATGGTTCTGCCTTGCACAAAGTTAAACAAGGGAGATACTTTGCTTGTCTGATTTTTAAATCTGTATGTTGTTATACCCATTCAAGCAAGAGATCATAGCCATAATAATCAATTTGTCTGAACTATGTGTGTTAGTATTTAAATTGCTTAAAGTTTGTATTGCATTTGCTTGTGTGCTTGTCCTAGAGCTCACTGGTTATTACAAGGAATACTGCAACTATGTATATTCAGTTACATTAATATTAATAAATAATCCTTGAATTTGATACACAATACAATTTACATTTACATAGTGCCATTCACATCGAACAGATGCCTCAAGGACTTAGCACTGCTATACAAGTCTTTTATTAAAAGGCTGATTATATTCCACTACAAAACTGCATAGCAATTATGGTTCTGATAAATATCAAGGGCAGTATGTTTAGCAAACATGAAGATCTTTCTGCAGTACTATAAGAACTGATGTTTCTATTTCTTTTCTTCAGCTCCTTCAACACTCCCGATATGAAGTCTATAATGCTTTGATTTGGAGCAGAACTTTGAAATAATTACATTAATGCTATTGACTGGATGATACTAATGGTTGTAGACAAGCACCACAAAACGCAGCAATCAGAAGCTGATGTATATCTACAGGGGGCGGGTGCAATTGTAGTTGATTTTTACTATTTCTTTTCTGCTTAGCATGTTATGCACATGCAGTACTTTTATGTTCAAGTTTTACAAAGTGTGTTACAAAAAAAGGTCAACAATTGCAAATATGAAACTATCTATTTGTCAGAGGGTGGTGCGCAGGAGTGTATTGTAGAGCCTCACTGCAGCGATTGACAAAATAATTATGTAGCAATTGTCTGGAATCCCAAATAGTTTCTGGAACGGTGTCAGTTTGTCTTAAATATATGGGAAGCGGGTGGGGAGGACGTTACTGTGATGTTTGACATATACACCAGCTTGCACACTCTTGTGTTTGAGCAGTCATGTTCAGAATTCAGATTTAGTTAATACTTATGGCCCAATCAACTTAATAAAGCAGGTGCGAATAAATCTGCTTGAATTGCATTAGATCTGATTCAGTGCTGAGCGTCATTAGATATGCTTTGTGATCGGTTAGAGTTTTTTGAGACCATCTCATTAATAGGTAGAAGCAAGCATGGACAGTGAAATAATATTTGAAAGGAAGTCATAAACAGACAGAGGAAACAGACAAACATTCTTGTAGCGCACAAAGATGATGAATAGACATTCAAAAATCCAATTCTTGAAGATGTTCAGCAACAGATTACAAAATAAGGGGTGTTTTCTTAATTCATGATTTTTCCTTTTTTTCCCCCTACTGTTGATGGATTGTCGCAGTAGTATTACTGGTATAATTTAAGTTGTTTCCTTTGTATTTATTTTTAAAACAGTACTATCCATAGCTAGTTTTATGCTTCTACTCTGCAACAACTCTCAAATCTAGGAGCACAACGTTTTCCTTTTGTACTTGGTTGACAATAGGTTGTGAACCAAATTCCTAATGGAGGCCCTGTTTTTGCACCTTTCAAAAGAGACCACAGGGTGACAAAGTGACAGTGATCTGTGACCTGACTCAAATATTATTGAATAGAATAACCACTGAGGTCCACTCTTCAGCTCTCTGGCAACGGACTGGAATTTTTTCCCTTTGGTGCAGCAGTGCAAACATGGCTTCACATCTCAAATAATCTTTTGTGTTTCCTCTAGCATAAGAGCCTTGAATCTGACTACTGAAGCTTTTTTTCTCTCCATCCATCTCTCCCAAAAGAACAATAATTTTTCAGGAAGAATGACAGTTAAGGGTAATAAATTCACAATTGATTGGCATAATAAAGAAGCCCAACTTTCTAATTCTGAGGATATTCTAAAACCAATCGTCTGAGTTAGAACAGAAGAGAATTGTTGTCTTGCTTGTGATAAAGTGTTTATAGATTGAATTGAACCATTGATATTTTGATACTGAAAATGGTTCCTACCTTGGGTTGGGTACTTCTTGTGATAAATCTCATGGGATACAAACTCCTAAAATGGCTACACAGGAAACTCCAGGTAAAGAACAAAAATACTTTGCTCACTATTGCCTTTGGAGCAAAACTTGTGTTGGTGCCACAAAATGTGCCTGTTTGCTCCAGTTAGTTTTTGTTGACTGCTGAAATTCATAGGTCATCTGCACTGCTTTGAACTAGCATCATAACTAACCATCCAATATTTTCCACTGTTCTATGATATTTTAATCCCATTTTCTACCTAACTCCCTTAATACACCCATTCCCAATGTTTGATTGTGCAAAACTAATGTATAGGTCTTCTCACATTAGTTTTTTTAACATAATTTTTAAATTAGGCGAAGCAGCATTTCCTGCTGTCTCTACATTTCAACTTCGGTATCAATTTAGCTTACTTACTTTGGAGTCCTGTAGCTCAGTGGTTAAAGCTCTCGCCTTGCAAGCGAGACACCTGGGTTCAATTCCAGGCAGGGCGAAACCTTGGGCAAGTTTCCTTACTCCACACGCCTAGTAATAATCCCTCCAAAAAAACAAAACAATAATAAATTGGTCATTTTCAATCCACGACTGTTGTAGGACTCTGATGTACGCAATTGGCTGCCACGTTTCGCCCACAAATATACGGTCAATTCACTGTACAGCATATTATGTGTAGCGCTTTGAGATGCTGAGAAGACGTGAAAAGCGCTATATCAAATGCAAGGATTATTTATTACTTGGTAGCACTCATGCCTCTGGTTACCCTTAACTGGACTTTCCTATGCTCTCCTCACTGGTCTCCCCAGCTCCACAATACACAAAATCCAATTAATTAAAAACTCCGCCCCACAAAACTCTGTACCCTCATCACACAGTCCTTGCCAGGCTCCACTGGCTAGCAATCAACAATCAAGATCCTCTCACTCGTTTTCAAATCACTTAATTCCTTCGCACCTCCCTACCTATCTGACCTGCTTACCCCCCACTCCACCACAGGGTGCCTCCGCTCGGCTGGTTCCGGTCGCCTATTTGTCCATTGTGCCCTCCATTCCATCACTGGTGGCTGTGCCTTCACCCACTATGCCCGAAACTCTGAAACTCTCCCTCAATCCTTCTGCCTTGACTCCTTCCTTCCCACCTTCAAATTCCACCTAAAGACCTTCTTTTTTGATCGTGCTTACGGTCACTTTCCTCTCCCCCTGGCTCGTTGTCAGACTTAACCACTGTGAAGCATTCCAGGACGCTACCCCGCATGAAGGCTGCTATATAAATGCAAGTTGTTGTTGTTGATTTCATAATCTAGGCTGAAACAACAACAAATGGCATTTGTATAATGCCTTTCATATCAGCTGGACAGTCAAGGATTCGCACCCGAGCTGGTGGTTGGGATCAAGATGGGTGGAGTGCGGGGAGGGTAGGTTTAGGAGGGTGACCAAAGGCACGGTCGAAGAAGAGGGTCTTGAGATGGGTTTTGAAGGAGGCAAGGGAAGGGGCGAGGTGGAGGGACTGTGGGATGGAATTCCAGAGTGTGGGGGCAGAGTGCCTGAAGGGGTGGGCAAGGCGGGGGAACATGAAGCAAGACAGAGCCTGCTTATTACTACAGTGCAGTACTGAGACAGTCATTCCTCAGTTCCTTCAAATCGTAAGACAATAAACTGTGGTGTCATCTGTCCGTTTAGATGGCTGTTAAAGATGTTATGGCATAATTTTGAAGAAGAGCATAGAGTACTCTCAGTAGCCCAGTATATCTCCTTCATCAAAATCTCCAAAAACATAGTTATTCATTTTATTATTGTCTATGGGACATTGCTGTAGAGATCAGGTCCTGTATTTACCTCTTATTGATGATTTTATGAAGTGCTTTGAGACCCATTTGCCTGATGAAACATTGCATAAAAAGAAAATATTATAGATGTTGACAGCTCCATTCCTTCTTATTCCCAGTTAACTCTCTACTTTCTTACTCCTGCAGATGAGGATGGTCTCGGCATCAGTATTATAGGAATGGGAGTTGGAGCAGATGCAGGACTAGAAAAACTCGGAATTTTTGTCAAGACTGTTACTGAGGGAGGAGCTGCTCAGAGGGATGGAAGGTATCTGTTCAGTCTTAAAAGAACACTGTTGTCTATTACAGGATTTTTTCTTTTCTGCAGATTTATTATTATTTGCTAGGTCTAAAAGTAATATATAGGCGTGTATTGTGAAAAGATTAGCTGATCTGTCACTTCAGATTTATACTGCAGAATGCCTACCACTTGGGCTGTCCACCAATCTACAATGCCCAGTAGTGATGCAGTCAAGCAGACAGTAGTCAGGTGAGTTTAAAATACATGCTGATTAGGAAAATTCTGTCTGCTTATCGTTTTGCTTAATACAAAATCACAAGAGCAAAACATGAAGCAAGTTGTTTTATTAAATTTAATTGAATTTCATTCTTCCACAATGACCCACCCTACTGTCTTCCCATTACAGCATTATCCTCCTTTTGGGAGGTGGGGGAAAGGTAAGTGAGGTTTCCTTGGAGCTGAACTGGCTCTAAGGTAATGTGCTCGGCAACAGAATATTGGAATCGAGTCAATTGTCTTTGGCGGGCTCAGTAGTCCTGATACAGGCAGTTCTGCAGAACTCCAAAGCACTGCTGATGATAGGCCAGAAAGCTGATGATAGATCATTCAGTGGTTCTTCCCACTCAATTCCTGTTAACCCTGCCAGTCAAAGCCCTAATGGATAGAGTGATCATACCTGGACAAACAGTGGGAAATTTGCCAGAATTGCTTTCAAGACAAGCTATGTGGTTTTAGCTGGTTAAGTTCCAGCAGTACTCCCAAAGAACACTCTGATGACTATAAGCCTTCGCTCTTGCCAACTCACACCTAATATTCTCTGGAATTAGGTAAGAAGGGTGTTTTCCTCCTGTGAGAGAGTGCTCATTCCAAGTGTAGGTGGCATACGCATGTGACATCTATGTGGTTTGGACATTTTAAAGAATTCTTATGGGTCTCTTCATGTGTCAGACACCCAGTTGACCAAAAATAATGAGTTTCAGTCTGTTTCATAAATGAGTTCAGCATCTTGATCTTGACCACGTTTCCTGATAACCTGCTCTAGACATTAATTAGGAAATATGTAGAAAAGGTAAAGCGATAATAGTGGGTGATTTCAATCTCCACATAGATTGAGAAAACCAAATTGGCCAACGTAGGTCAGAAGAAGAGTTCATTGAGTGTATGAGAGATAACTTTCTAGAGCAGCATGCCGAGGAACCAACTAGGGGACAGGCCATCCTAGACCTTGTTTTGTGTAACGAAACAGAGCTAGTTGGCAGTGTAGGTATTAAGAATCCTCTAGGGCAGAGTGATCACAATATGATTGAATTCTGCATTAAGTTAGAGAGGGATATAGTTAAATCCGAGGCAAGTATTCTGAATTTAAATAGGGCTAATGTTGTAGTTATGAGGAAAGATTTAGGTAAAATAGACTGGAGAGTAAGATTAAGAGGTAAAAATGTAGACCAACAGTGGCAAATATTTAAGGATGAAGTGCATAATTCTCAGCAGTCGCATATTCCCTTGCGGAATAAGAGTACCACAGGGAAAGCAATTCATCCGTGGCTAACTAGAGCAGTTAGGGAAAGCATCAAATTAAAAGAAAAGGCTTATAAAACTGCCAAGAAAAGCAGCAAATCTGAAGATTGGGAGAGTTTTAGAAACCAGCAAAATAAAACTAAAAAACTCATTAAGAGCGAGAAAAAGGAGTATGAGGGTAAGCTAGCTAGGAACATTAAGTCTGATTGTAAAAGTTTTTACAAATATATTAAGAGGAATAGGCTAGTGAGGGTAAATGTAGGTCCACTTCAGTCAGAGACAGGAGAAGTTGTAATGGGGGACAATGACATGGCAGAGCCCCAAAATGGGTACTTTGCATCTGTCTTCACCCTAGAAGACACAACAATAGAGATGCACCAAAGGGATAAGGATAGGGAGCAACTTAGGGAAATTTTCATTAGTAGAGAATTGGTGCTAGGGAAACTGTTAGCACTAAAAAGTGACAAATCCCCTGGTCCGGATGGCTTGCATCCCAGGGTTTTAAAAGAGGTAGCTTATGAGATAGTGGAGGCCTTATGTCTGATCTTCCAAAATTCCTTGGATTCTGGAACAGTCCCCATGGATTGGAAGATCGCAAATGTCACACCACTATTTAAAAAAGGTGGAAAGGAAAAGATGGGGAATTAAAGGCCAGTTAGTCTCACATCAGTGATAGGAAAAATTTTAGAATCATTGATTAAGGATGTGGTAGTGCAGTATTTAGGGGAGCACAATATAATTAGGCCAAGTCAACATGGCTTTACAAAAGGGAAGTCATGTTTGACAAATCTCATAGAATTTTTTGAGGATATTTCGAGTAAACTAGATAAGGGTGAATCAGTGGATGTGGTCTATTTGGACTTCCAGAAGGCATTCGATAAGGTGCCGCATAAAAGGTTAGTCCAAAAGATAAGGGCCCATGGAATTGGGGGAAGCATATTAACGTGGATTGGGGAATGGTTAACGGGTAAGAAATAAAGAATAGGGATAAACGGGTCCTTTTCAGATTGGCGGGATGGGACTAGTGGAGTGCCACAAGGATCAGTCCTTGGCCTCAGCTATTTACCATCTACATCAACGATCTAGATGAGGACATCAAAGTTAATATATCTAAATTCGCGGATGACACAAAACTAGGAGGAAGTGTCAACACAGAGGATGACATTAAAAAAATGCAGCGAGACATATATAGGTTAGGTGATTGGACAAGTAGGTGGCAGATGAAGTATAATGTAGGGAAGTGCGAAGTCATCCACCGAGGTAGCAAAAACAGTACAGTGGGTTATTTTTTAGAAGGAGAGAGATTGGAATGTGTTACCGTCCAGAGGGACTTGGGTGTCCTTGTACACCAATCACAGAAAGTTAGTCTGCAGGTACAGCAGCAATTAGGAAGGCGAACGGTATGTTTGCATTCATTATGAAAGGATTAGAGTATAAGAGTAGGGAAGTCTTGCTGCAACTGTATAGGGCCCTGGTGAGACCACACCTGGAATACTGTGTCCAGTTTTGGTCTCCTCATTTAAGGAAGGATGTACTTGCCTTGGAGGGGGTGCAGCGTAGATTTACTAGGTTAGATTTGCATCCCAGTGATTTTTCTATTGCTAAGATGGTAATGATTGTCAGCTATGCCACCATAAGAAGTCATCAAGCACCAGCTACTTTCCCACAGAGAGCGAATTTGTATTTCCGAGTGGTCAGTTTCAGATTGTCAAATGACTGGGCTCAGATCGTTTATCATGCAGAGACCAAGAAGAAATGAAGACAAACATTTTTTTGGCAACTGGTTGTCTGACACATGCAGACATTTAGTATCACGCTTAAGAGTATACAAACCAAACAGAGTTCCACAAATGTATGCCGCCTGTGCATGGAAATTTACCTGTGTCTGGAATGGAATGTACATTCTCTCTGGAGGATGTACCCTGCTAACCTAATTATAGGCTGGTGAGAATTGAGACTTGGGGACCTGAGAGTTTTGGTACTACTGGAGTTTAACCAGCTAAAACCACGTAACTTGCAGTTGAGAGCACTGTCTGGCAAGCTTCCTGCTGCTTATGGGTATACAACAACAACTTGTATTTACATAGCGCTCTTCACACCGGACGGCGTTTCAGAGCGCTTAACAATGGCAGAGGCCGAGCCAGGAGGAGGGGGAAGGTGACCGTACATGCGGTCGAAGAGGAAGCTATTCAGGCGCGACCTGAAGATGGGGAAGGAGGGAGTGAGACAAAGGTGTTGAGGGAGGGAGTTCCAAAGTTTTGGGGCGTAGTGGCTGAAGGCACGGCTCCTGATGGTGGAGCGGAGGATTCGGGCACGCAGAGGAGGCCGGACCCAGCAAAGTGGAGGCAGCCGGTACAACTGTGGGGTGAGAGGAGATTAAAGAGATAGGGAGCTGCCAAGGAATGGAGGGATTTAAACACTAGAGTGAGGATCTTGAAGTCAATCCGCTCTGTGAAAGGGAGCCAGTGGAGTTTGGCAAGGACTGGAATAATCGGGGTATGAAGTTTGGTGCGGGTGAGAATGCGGGTGGTAGAGTTTTGAATGAGCTGATTTTTGTGAATAGTGGAGGAAGGGAGACTGGCGAGGAGGGCGTAAGAGGAGTCCAGCTGAGAGGTGACAATGGCATGGACAAGGATTTTGGCGGCTTTTGGGGTAAGGTATTGTCGGAGACGGGCAATGTGTGGAGGTGGAAGAAAGCGGTGCTGGTCAGGGACCGGATGTGGGGGAGGAAGGATAACTGGGGATCGAACTGGGGATATAAGAATGCCTTACCCATTAGGGCTTTTGCTTGTAGAATTAACAGGAACCACATGGGAAGAATCCCTACCCTTAGTGACCAATTGTTCCCTCCAAATCCTGCCAGTAGGCCAGTTCTGTGATCAGCAGTGCCTTGGAGGACTGAAAACCATTCCGGTTTGGAAACTGGACAACTGAAACTTTCGCTGAGGATAACTTGATTTCAAATTCTGTTACAAAGTATATCTGCTTGGTGCCAGCTCAACCCCAAGGAGGCCATGCTTACCTCTCCCCCTACACACCCTGCACATAGGAGTCACTAGTTAGTCAACAACAGGTTTGAGCCCTTACTAGATCGATGACAGGTATTAGGAACTGCCTGCGAGTTGCATTGGTGAGTAATACAGCTGGGCATGAAATGTATAAGCAATGTCAGCATCCGCCTATCCACAGCTCAAACATCCAGCTCTATGCATTGATCAGTGGTTCACCCAGTAGGAAGTGGAGACCTTGACTAGCAGCTACTTACCCCTCTAGTAACAATCAAGGTGGATTATAAGCCCTGGATATATCGTGTATGTTCACAATCCCAGACTCCAGGTTACACCTTCAACCGCTGTCATCCTAATTCTCTTGATATCGGCACAAATAGTCAGAGATAGCTTTTTATGCTATAAAATATATTTTTTTAATTCTATGGAATAGAGATTAAAATTTCCCATTCCATTTCAATCAAATAAAAAGAAGTACTAAAACCAAATGTAGAGTTCCTG